ACTCAACTCCCATTTATTTGTTCTATCAGCTTCTGTGGATATTCCTTTACACTGTATGAATATATGTCACTGTGACTGGTTTAATAAAGAAGCCGGTAGGTCAATAGCTGGACAGGATAAGGTTAAAAGGGAGAGCCAGACTAAGGACACGGGGAAGAAGAAGGGCAGAGCCAGAAGTGTCTCCGAGCAGATGTGGAGTGTCTCCGTGTTGGTTATTTGGGAACTGGCGGGCGGAAAAGAAAAGTCCGCTTACAAACTTTATATCCGTATGAACTTAGGGATTTATATTTCACTAAATTGGTTATTAATCCATTACAATATCTATTATGATAATCACATCTCCCAATCTGGCCAGTAGGAGCCCATCAATCATCAATCAATCAGGCCCGTGACCCCTTGATCCATTGACAATTCACTCCACTTTGTAGCTCACAAAGGTAGTCCGGGTCCGTGCTGTCTTTTCCTTGCCTGAACCCAGGAGTATAGCCATTCCTCCGGGTTACGGTCTGCATCTTTTAAAGTGCTAACGTGATGCCTTCCAAGGCTATGATATGAAGATATTCAAGAGTGCGATGTCAGTTTCACTATTCACATCTTCAATATAGAATGGAGGAGTCCATCTGCAGAGACAGCCGAAGGATGTGCCCAGACCTACGATCGCTGGACTTCGTCACTGGTCACATAGCTGAGCTGTGAAGGTCACAGGGCAGCTAAAGGTCAGACCGGGGGAGAGTTAACAGGGAGCTTAAAGGGCAGAGCCAGGGTACAAGATGGCGAGGGCAAGTCAGTCCTGGAGGGAACCATAGCAAAGGCTCATTTCAGATCGGTGTCTCCAAGAGGGACGAGTCCTCTCCAAATTATTCCCCACATGCAGCTTGCCTCCTCCCCGAAACAGCACGTGGTCCCATTTTACACAGAGATGCATAGTCATGTGTGACTTATCTGCTGGGGAGAGAACACTTCTATGTCCGTTTCAGAACAACAGCAGAAAACGACAAAGTAGAACTTCCACATGAAGTTCAGAAGCAAGCTGAGTCTGGTTTCCTCCTGTAGTGAGTGTTCCACCCTTCAGGGGCAAAACTGTGAATGAAAAGCCAAGTGTGGCAGGCCCTCTGGTCCCTCCCAGAGCTTGTGAGTGAGCAAGCCAGACGTTCACCCTTCCCTTAGGCCCTGGTTAAAGCCCACCTCCGCTCAGCACTTCAGCTTCTGGCCTCGGATGCCAGGGCTTGACAGCCAGGGACTGTTTCCTCGGTAGGACCAGTCATGTGGCCCCTGAGCTGGCCTGGATGACTCAGACCTCCCAGGTTCTTCTCCACTACGTAATATCAAGGCTATTGCTACTCAGTGGCTTCCAGTACAACCCTCGCCGTCAATACAAGAAGGAAAACAAGAAGGACTTCCACCAAAGCCTGGGAACACTGGTATGGGGAAGAGAGCCTGGCTGGCTGCCGTTCAGTCAAGTTCACTTGTTTGTGAATTCCAGCCTTGCACCCGAGTACAGCAGAGCTATAGCTAGAACACCCAGAACCGTTTCAATTAGGTAGGGCGACAAACTTATCCAAAGTCAGATGGAGTACAGTTTGACTAGGGCTGATGGTGCTAGCATGCTGCTCTCTGACAAGGGGTTAGACCGACCATTCCTATTGTACTTTCCTGTTCTCCCAGCTACTCCCCATTTCCCCACACTCACAGCACACAAGCCCCGCTCTCTCCACTCATTTCCCTCTGTCTGTGCCATGGCCACCGCTGTTTCCTACACCGGACACACCTCTGTCACGTCCTCTGCTAGGGGGGGCCCTACACTTCTCTCGGTGCACAGTAATTACGGACAATCTCCAGCCCCTCTACGGCAGCCCTCACCTGCCTGCTTCTGCCTCCAAAGCAGAATGAAATCACTCTGGTTTCTGTCTTCCCACAGACTTTCCCTAAGCCAATCAGAGCCCTTATTGCCCCCCGGACTGTGGACAGACCTGGACCAATCGCCCCAGGGACGTCAGTCGGGGGGGCCCCATCCTGCTCCTCTGTGAACTTACCGTGCCCGGCATCCAGGGCGCTTTCAAAACCTATTTGCTGAATTAAAGACTCGTGTCAAACTGCAAGAGTTCTTTCTCCTTTCACCTAGGTAGAGGCTTACCTTAATTAAAATAAAACTACAATATTATTAGGTTATAAAATCATAAACCACATATAGCTGCACATAATTACAGCGCAATCAAGCCTCCGGTATTTTTAGGTGTTTCCTTCCCCGAAAACCTTAACTATTTTTGATAAAGTACTGATGAATTTCTACTCAGTAAGTTTAGTGTTTGTGGTTTTGTGTGTGTGTTTATATGTGTGAGTGCATGCGAGTGTGAAAGAGACAGCTACAGAAAGACGGGGGAGAAGAGCGAACACAGGCAAACACCTGCCGTATGGAAGGCAGGGGACAACCTGGGGTATTGATCTTCCAGTCTTCCCCTTTCACCTTGCTTGAAGCAGGCTCAAGGCACAGCAGAGGCCAGCATGCCAGGGTCTCTCCATAGGCACACTGGAGTTACGGACGGGATTTGAACTCCCGTCTTCACGCTTACACAGCAAGCACGTTTTACCCTCTGGGCCATTTCTTCAGCCCCCCGCCCCCGTTTGCTTTTTGAAACCTTTGTTGTTCAACTATGTCAGCAGAGTAATGTAATAAGGCCCCATTACCCAGTTTTGTTCCTGGCCTACATATCCTCATCCATGTTTAATACCTATTTTCCCTTCCTGTATTACATTAAAGAAAATTACACTCATCGTTTTCCGTCTGTAAACATTGTAGAATGTACCTTTAGAAGTTGCGTTTCTTGCTGCAAAATACAGCCAGGCCATGATTAGCAGATCCAAAGAGAATTCAGTCATTACCCCTAACTCCACCTGATATTCACGAGTGTGGAAACACCTACCTTTTCCTTTCCTTCACCCTTAGGTCTTCAGCAAGGGCAAGCCACTGTTAGTGCGGACAATCAATGACGAGTTTTCTTATTTGGATAAAAGTCCCAAGCTCAGATCTGACACAGCTCACCACTCCTGCACACCTCACTTCAACACAGTGGGCGAACTACATCGCCGGAACTGCGGTCGGCACTTGTTTGTACTGCACGGATTTTCAACATCATTTTGTTTCCAATCCATTATTTTTCTAGTCCAATATTTTACCCCACAAAGACTTCCACACATGAGTTCACGCTACTTCTGAGTTCTTCAAAGCCCCTAGCAATCCTTTGTTTGTTTGTTTGTTTGTTTTTCTTCCTCTTGGAACTCAAGTTCTCTCAATGAACACAAATGTTTTCACTCTCAATTTGAGTTTTTAAAATAAAACTATGGGTAAAGGGACAATGCCATTTCCCCGACAATTCCCGAACAAGTAAGGAATACATAACTATAATATATGCCTTAGTAAATTTTACACACAAGCAAATGTTTCCATCAACAATAGCCCACGTCAGTGCAGGCAAAAACAAAAACAAAAACAAAACACCACCCAGATGGCTCAAGGAAGGAGGGGGCACCCACCAAGATGACTCTAGGGAGGAGGGGGTGCCTCGCCTAATGACAAGATTGATATGCAGAGACTCACAAGCAAGCTCACTTCTTGCTGACTCTAGACATGCATAAAATGCCCCTTGATCTGGAACAGGAAACAGGTGCAAAATGCAAATGTATCCAGTTTATGAGTGGAAATATTTCTGAAAAAGGTGCACATATTTTTATGTGGCAATTTCACCATTAGATGGAATTAAAAATAAATGTTTTGTGAAGTTGAAATTAACATACATACATATATATATATATTCCTTTACAATTACATGTGTGTGTATAGGATGGGGGAGGATGTGTGAACATGAGTGTGGGCGTCCTCAGAGACCAGAAGAGAGTGCCAGATCCCCTGGGAGCACCTAAGTGGGTATTGGGAACTAGTTTGTACTCTGAACTACTGAGCCATCTCTCTAGCCCCAAGTTAAAATCTTAATAATGCAACAATAATCCTTTTAAATTTTGCATTTGAAATGTACCACGTACGCACCTGTCAGCCTAAAGATAGAAAATAGGTGCCAGCTTAACCTGCTTAGAAGATAGGTGGTGGAGAAGCCAGTTATGAATTACAAATATTGACTAAAAATCCAATCCGCAACATACTGGTTTAGTGGCTTTATTTCTTATTGTTTTATATTTCCTTGAGATTTACAAAGGATGATTCTTTTTTAATATTTATTTATTTGTTATTAAACAATATTCTGTCTACACGTATGTCTGCAGGTCAGAAGAGGACACCAGACCTCATTACAGATGGTTGTGAGCCACCATGTGGTTGCGGGGAATTGAACTCAGGACCTTTGGAAGAGCAGGCAATGCTCTTAACCGCTGAGCCATCTCTCCAGCCCCCCAAAGGATGATTCTTAATTAATCAATGTAGAATGGGCCAGCAAGAAGGTTAAGCTTGTAAAGGCACTTGCCACCTGAGTTTGACCCCAGGGACCTACGAAGTGGAAGGAGAATCAACTCCATATAAAACTTAAAAATCTAAATAAAAATACGGTAGTGATAGGTTAAATATAAGACTCCCAGTGTCTTTCTGTTTGTTGATATAAAAGGCTGTGTTCCTGCTTGGCATGGTGGCATTTGGGAGGCAGAAGCAGGTGGATCTCTGTGAGTTCTGGGTCAGCCAGGAATATATAACAAAATCCTGTCTTAGAAAAAAAGAAACAAAAAAAAAAGAAAGGAAAAGGTGTATTACAGTAGCTACAAATTATGAACATTCAGACAAATTAATCGAGCGATACTATACTCCCAGGATTGTTTGATTTTTGTCATCTATTCAAGTCAACTTTATCCCATATCCAGGATCACCAGGGAATGTAGGGGTTCCTTACTCAAAACTAGTCCTACAGTGTTGCCCACATCTCCTCCTGGGAAAGATACCCGCGCAGAGAATATTTTCCCTGCATGTTTGGTGCGACTGCGGGACGTGAGAAACCAAGAGGCAGTCTGTTCTGCTTCAATGCAAGGGCAGGATGCGATAACACTAAACACGGATCGTCACGCCGAAGCAACTGTTTGGCTTCAATGCTGTCCCGATGCCTTGAAAGACAGTGGTCCGTCTAAGCCCAGACGCCAGCCCCACGGCTGCCCAAGTTGTCATTCCCTCCATCCTGGGCAGCTGTAGGCTCTTGCAGACAAAACCATTAGAGCTGGCTGACACCCCACAGGGCAGGAAATGAATCATCGCTTTACTCAACCGAAACTGCAGCAGGTTTTAAGGAAGCTAAGCACAGTCGACCAAATTGAATCAGTAGCACTTAGCTGGTAAAGAAGTGTCAAGGGACAGTGACCAATGACAAACTCTCAGGGCAGATTTTTTTAGCAAGCTCAGGAGCTTCCCATCTGGTACCATGTAGCTGCACAGCCCACCAATGGGCCCCTGCGAGGACCCTCGGCCACGCTGGGCACCTGTGTCAGGTGAGGCGCATGCGCAGGATATCCAGCGTTTCAGGCTCAAGCTGCCTTTGGGTTTCAGTGGAAGAACAACAACAAAAGGTCCGTGTCTTCCTTCCCCAAATTAAAAAGTTCTACATTCTGTTTTCAAAATGGGGATCTGTCTCATGTGAACTGAGGTGAGTCTTAGATCTTAATACAAGCCAAAATGGGAATTAGGGGGAAGGCCATTATCTTCGATTTCCTTTACCATAGCCTGAAAACAAACATTTGTGTGCCTAATGACAGCGATCCAAACACTGTGAATTTTCTTAAACATGGGCTATTGTCTTCCTGGTGAAGCTGCTTCTCCATTTACACGTTTACTTGTATCTGCTGACCACACACAAAAACCTGATTTCTAAAACTAAAGCTGGGTTTAAATGTAGCCTTATGTTTTATGCGCATTCTTAATATAAGCCTTTAAAACTCTGATTTGCAGAATATTTCCCTAACCAAACAATCAGGTGTTTCCTAGGTGACAAGGCAAGGCATTCCCAATTAGAACGAAGTCTTTTTCTACCATTTCGTTTAGAAATTCACAAAAATACACCTAAGTCGACAGATGACAGAAATTGGTTTAATCTAATTTTTCCTCTCCAAGTGGCACAAAGGTACAAGTTAAGAGCTTCCAGCGAGGTCTCTGGTGGAGGTATGAGCGTCTCAGGTTAGCACAGAAGCAGAACAGGTTCTGTGAGCATGCCTCACACATCTGAGGTCACTAGTTCACATTCAAGAAGAAAGCTACCTGGCCAGGGAAGGGCTCCGCTGGTGAAGGCACTTGCCACCAAGGTTGGCTACTTGAGTTTGCTCCCAAGACCTGCATGGTAGAGAGAACTGACTCCCACAGGGTGCCCTCTGCCCTCCAAACATGCTCAGTGGGTCACGGACTCTCTCTCTCGACATAAAAAAAGAGATTTTTTTTTCTGCGAAAAAACAAGACAATTCAATGTAGTTCTTAGGTAATCTTAGGTTAAAAACCCACAGCAAGCCTTTCTTCATTCCACAGCTAGATAGTCACCGAGAAAGATAGGTGGACCTCTGTACATCTAAACATTTAAGGGTTTGTTTTTAACCATTTTTCCTAATATACTCAGTCTTCTGAAATACTAGCCATGGGCTGGGGCAGAGGATGGTGACAGAGCATTTGCCTAGCATTCGTGAGGTCCTTCTAGAAACAATAATAAATAGTTATGAATTCGAAATACGGAACCAGGCTTCCCGGGTGCCAGTGAGAGGTCTTCCACTTCCTAACTATAGAATGTCAGTCAAGACACACAGTTTCCTTTCTGCTCAGTTTCCCCAGCTGACAACATCCCTACCTCCCTGCATAGCTCTGAAGACGGAATGAGTCACTGAGTATGTGATTGCGTCGTAGAGTCTACCGTATTACAGATGTCACGTGAGTATCAACCGAACCACGGGTGAGGGTCGGGGATTAGAATATGACTATGACCATCTCCCTGAAGGACCTCTACTCTGTCCCAGTGTGAAAGAGTGAGTTCCTGCCAGGACGAGAGTATGTTACACTGGGATGGTTCCCGATAGCCCCAACTTATTCCTACGGGCAGGATTTATATTGCTGATTGCTGCCTACTATTCCAGGTAAAGAGAATCAAACACCAGGAAAGGATACGGGGGGGGGGGGGAGGTGGGGGGGGTTTAGGGTCCGGCATTCAAGGTGCTGTCATTCAAACCAAGCCAATTATTTTCCCCAAGGGATATGGGAATAATGTAGATTTGTTATGAAGAAAAGTGGTTGACAGTCACAGCTTCAGATAAAGGTGACCTAATACATTTTCTAATTTTCTAAAATTTGCGGAGTTAAACCTAGGACTTGGGGCATGCTAAGCACACACTCCGCCCCTTGGCTACACCTCGGCCCTTCATAGATCTACTAACTGAGGAAAAAAAAAAGCTATAACTGTATTTCCCACAGAATTTAAGTCCAAATCTAGGTGTGGCATTAGGGTGTTTTCAAATTTCACCTAATTAGGTCAACCTCAAGATTCTGTCAGTCAGAAAAAAACAGTGGCTGTCAGGACATAATCCTTTCTAAAAAGCCATCAGAAGATGCTACTGCGGACAGTTTTAAGAGCCCATAAGCAGGAAGAGAAGAAGGTTCAGCCACCGAAGTCTCACATAAGACAGAAATCAATTGAACTGCACTTGTCTGATACCGTCTTGGATATTCATTTCATATTTTCCTTTCTCCACCCTCGCAATCCACTCGCACACAGACACATTAATCTCTTGCATTTTGTTACATATAATCCTGTTCCCACAGTTCTAATTTTAGATGTAGTTAGTCCACCAGAATTAATCTTTTCCCATATAAAGACTGGTCACAGCCACAATCTAAGAGTTTTTCCTTAAATCTTTCCCCTCTCATAGAGAAATGCAGCCTATGTTATTAACCGGCCCTTTTGTTTTGAAATTACCTGCAGCCTACTCATTCCCAGAACTGAAGATTACAGAAAACTTAAGTTTACAACTCTCCAGCATCCTTGGGAGCCAGTTACAAGGCCGTGGTCTTTAGCCATTATTTTAAAAAAAAAAAAAAACACACACAGTAGTTTTAAGGGAAAAAGTACTTCTAGTATCAAAGGAAATCTTTTGGGCTAAAACTCTGAATTCCACCTGAGGGACTGGCTTAACTTTAAGCTTCTCATAGTGCCTGCCTATTGCTAAGTTTACAGACAAAACGCTGTCCTGAAAGGCTGGCTGCTGGATACACTGAAGAGAGAAACGCCAGGAATGGCCATTGTCATCCAGACACATAACGATGTGTGATAAAGAGGGGTTCAGAACCGATGTCTTGGTGAAGGCCTAAGTCACAAAACAATCCCACACCAGTTTGGAATTACGATAAATAAAAGGGTTATTTAAGGGGAAAAGCAAAAACAAAAACACAACAAATAAACCATACAATTAATTACAGAATCATTTGAGAACGAACTCACAGATGACAATGTACACAATTTCTTATGTCTGCAAAATTATGCTTCAATTTCATAGCAAGCACATTGGCCTCTGAAGAGCGCAACTGTGGGGAGAGGGAGGGAGGGAGAAAGAGATTAGGAAATAGGTGAGAAATGACTCAACTTGTTTGAATATGCGTCTCCCTCCCTTTTTTCCAGCCTCTCTCCTCTCAACTTTCTCTATAGCTTCCATTTTCTGGCACCTGAGTCTAATTGAGTCTGTGGAATCTCCTTCAGGGCTACTGTATAAAAGAGTGCTGGCTACCTGAAAGGGAGCATCATGCTGGCAACCCACACTGCTTCCCCATCATTTAGAAGGGAATGAGATGTCATTTTCACACAGCCAAAAAATCTTATATTCAATTTGGAGGAAACAGCACCTTCCAGAGACTTCCCATCTCTTTTCGCATAGAGACGGCCTACATCCTCCCAACAACACAATACCAGATGAGGGAGCAGCGAGGAAGGCCCAGGCACAAAGGGGCAGAGGACAGGGATGAACCCCGACACCTCACCACGTTTCCTGGGGTGAAACCAGGCCAGTTTGGGCAGCCCCAAAACAAGGACCGCTCTTCTTGCTCTGGTTCACAGTCAACCCTAACGTAATGAGCAGGAAATGAAAAACTTACTCCAGTTTTTAAGAACAGCCCAATTTGAAAGCTTGGGCTTCCAAGATCTTTAAACACACGCCAGCAATCACCCTCTCCTCTCAAACGTTCAAGTCCAAGTTCCTTCCTAAGAGACAGTCCTTTCTTCATCCACCAGACCCTTACGATCGCATCAGCTCTCTCCACGTCATCTTATGGCTGTTGGAACATGTGTCTTGTTGATGTCGTTGCTGTTATTGTTCTTCTTCCTCCTCTTCTTCTTCCTCCTCCTCCTTCTTCTCAGAGTTTCTCTGCATTAACAGCCTTGGCTGTCCTGAAACTCACTTTGTACACCAGGCTGGCCTCGAACTCACAGAGATCCGCTTGACTCTGCCTCCGCCTCCTGAGTGCTGGGATTAAAGGCTTGCACCACCATGACCGGCCTGCAGCATGTGTCTCGAGCCCCACGCCATGTGCTCTGTAGTGCACTGGTCAGCACCAGGAAGTCAGTTCCCGTAGGGATGAAATAGACGCTATGCTCATACAACCTCTGATACCCCCTCTTTTTTTTTTAATATTTATTTATTTATTGTGTATACAATATTCTGTCTGTGTGTATGCCTGAAGGCCAGAAGAGGGCACCAGACCTCATTACAGATGGTTGTGAGCCACCATGTGGTTGCTGGGAATTGAACTCGGGACCTTTGGAAGAGCAGGCAATGCTCTTAACCACTGAGCCATCTCTCCAGCCCCGAGACACCCCCCTCTTGATGGGCTCCCAGATACACCCATGACAGAGCCCAAGCTGACTTCTGTGTGGTTCTAGCAGATTCCGAAGGCAGCTCCCAGTTCTTAATGCAGCAGTGTGACTTCCTTAGGTAACGCTGACCAAGCAGGCCTGGGAGAATTGCTAGGCTAGGCGACCACTCGGCCACTTTCAAGTGTCTCTTAACTTGACAGTGACATCTATCAGGAAAGCTCTCTTGAGGGCCCAAAGATCCACACAAGCCTTTCTTCGGAATCTGGGGGTGTGCTCAATTGTAGAATTCTTGCCTAGCATGCATAAGTCTCTGTGTCCCAACCTCAGCACCCCATTAGCAGAGCAAGGAGACCCATACTCGTAATCCCAGTACGTGGGAGATGGAAATCGGAGGGTCAGTAGTTCAATGTCATCCTTTAGTACAACAGGAGCTTGAGGCCAGTCTAAGTTAGAAAGCCTATCTCAAGAACAAAATAAAACAGAAATTGCCCCTGAGAAGCGCAGAGCAAGAATCACAGAGCAAGAATCACAGAACAGAATCCTAAGCTCATCTTTAATGGTGAGTTGCTGGGGCTGAGGATGCAGTCCTGAAGTACACAAGCCTTGAACTAGACAGTCAACCAGCGCACACACACACACACACACACACACACACACACACACACGCCCTACAACAGGCAATGTGGATCTCTCCCCCCCTCCCGCCCCCAAGACAGGGTTTCTCTCTGTAGCTTTGGAGCCTGTCCTGGAACTCACTCTGTAGACCAGGCTGGTCTCCAACTCACAGAGATCCACCTGCCTCTGCCTCCCAAGTGCTGGGATTAAAGGCGTGCACCACCACCACCTGGCTGGTAATGTGGATTTTATGTTAACATTTTGAAATTCAGGAATCCCAGGCTTCTTTCCAAGTTGAATCAGTTAGCTAGTAACTCCTAGAAAACATGGGATAGATTTTGTTCTTACTTCAAGAAAGTCCAAGGCACAGATAGCAGAGTTTCCAGCACCATAATCACAGAATGACTCCAGCTTATGAAAGTCCCATGGCCAATCCTCAGTCTACACAGACACCCTATACAGCACAAATTCTTTCAAGAGAAATGATTCACAGGAATAATTGTTTTCTAATGTCTTTTAATGAAAGAAACTAAGCAATGGCTTTGTTTTTTTGCTGTTGTTGTTGTTTTTGGGGTTTTTTTTGGTGTTGTTTGTTTGTTTTGTTTCGTTTTTTTGTTGTTGTTGGTTTTTTTTTTTTTTTTTTTGGTTTTCAAGACAGGGTTTCGCTGTAGTTTTTTAGAGCCTGTCCTGGAACTAGCTCTTGTGGACCAGGTTGGCCTCGAACTCACAGAGATCTGCCTGCCTCTGCCTCCTGAGTGTTGTGATTAAAGGTATGTGCCACCACCACCTGGCTTTGTTTTTTTTTTAATTAAGTTCCACCACCTGGCTTTGTTTTTTTTTAATTAAGTTCAACTTTAACTTATTCTTTAATACATTCAATTCCTGTGTGTTTTACTAAAACACATTTCTACACATAATACAACAGAAACTAATACTAAGATACATACACTGGACAACTCTCAATAAATTAAGCATTTTAAAAAATAAAAAATAGTAGCTGTTAAAGTATGTATTTTGAAACAATGAAAATTTCACCACAAAAATGATTGGTAGTTAATTAGACATAGTGGTGCAAACCTATAATTCCCATCCTTAGAAGGTGGAAGAAAGAAAAGCATGAGTTAGTGGCAAAAAAGAAAGGGGGAGGGGAGGAATGAAGAAAAAAGGAAGGAAGGGAGGGAGGAAAAAGAAAGAAAGGGAGGGAAGAAGGGAGGGAGGAGGAAAGGAGAAGGAAAGGGAGGGAAGGAGAGAGGAAGGAAGGAGAAAGAAAGCAAGGAAGGAAGAAAAGAAGGAAGGGAGGGAGGAAGGGAGGTTAGTGATCATAGGACTTTATTTATCATATTCATTCTTTGCAAGCATTCAAACTGCATTACACATATTCACGTATGTATATGCACAAGTTCATACAACTCCTTCCTAGGTACAGGAGATGGTACAAGTCTTAATGATGCAACACCAG